TTAAAGTTAATTCCCGAGAATCACCGTTGTATTTTGCGCATCTCGCGTTTAATGTCGCTTCATATTATTTTCTTTCGTGACAGATATTACGGTACTTGAAGTTAAAACAGACACTGTGTGATGGGCAAGGAAATACGTTTCCGCCGTGTTTTCCTTATGTCACATTTCTTGCGACAGTCATTTTATTACGAATTGTTATATTGAGTAATTTAAAAACGTGCAGCGTGAGCAAGCTTAGTGCCATCGTCAAATACCAACCAAGTCCGTCTAAGTTGGTATTTCGGGACCTAGCTAAAAAAATGGATTGCGCGGCGTTAAGTTGGTTCTGCGTTTCGTCACTACTATCACATGGCCGACCCTTGAAAACAGAGGAGTGTTTTTACTAAAATAAAGGCACAAAGCGTCAGAAAAGGGGGTTTGAATCTCGGGATCCCAACCCCAGTTGAAATAGCAAAAAAAAAAACTCGGAAACGTTCCTCCATTAGATACAAATATACGCTAAAAGTGATCTTTGAGCCGCACGGAATGTATCAGCATGACAGGGTTTGGACCACCTTGTCTCCCGACTTCGCTAACCACTAGATCGTTGAAATACGACCGTGGAACCGCCACATAGTGGAAATAGTTCATTGATCCAATTGTTGAAAAAAAAAGAAATTTTTTAAAAAAGAAAAATGCAGCAACAAGGAGAATACTAGGAAGGAAAAACAACAACAAATTAAGAAAACGATTCATAGACCCATTTCGTGTCCAATAAATGAGTACCAGTGTTTATTTTTGATATGATACTTGAAGACGAAAAATAGCCGAATATTTTGAAGTTATAGTCGTCTGGTGAATTCGTAATATTTTAATGAACACCGATAAACTATATAAAATTCTGCTTTAAAATTTCTGTGGTGCCCCTCATTGCTTGGTGCCCTAAGCACGTGCTTATATTGTTTAATGGTTAATCCGGCGCTGCGTGAAAGGCAACCTATACCGACTGTTGAAGACTTACTCCACGAATTGAGCGGAAGCGCCGTATTTTCGAAGTTAGATCTGAAATGGGGGTTTCATCAAATATTGCTTGATGAGAAATGCCGATATATCACAACGTTCGTAACTAATAATGGAATTTTTAGATACAAAAGACTTATGTTTGGTTTATCATCTGCACCAGAAAAGTAGCAGCAAATAATCAGAGACGTTGTGAAGAACTGTCGGGGTGTCGCAAACATAGCGGACGATATCATTATCCATGGGCGGAATGTGAAGGAACAAGATGAAAGATTATTTGATGTTCTTGATAAGTTGGACAAAGCCGGTCTAACGCTGAATGGTATGAAATGTCAATTTCGACTTCCTGAGATCAAGTTTTTTGGTCATAAGCTCCACAAGTCAAGGTATTGATCCTTGTGAGGAAAAGGTGGCGGCAGTAAGAAATGCACGACGACCAAAAGATGCCAGAGAAGTAAAATCTTTTATGGGTCTTGTTCAATATTGTGCAAAGTTTATACCAAACCTTTCTTCGATTGCAGCGCCTTTACGTGCATTGACTAAGAAAAATTCTAAATTTGATTGGGATAAGCAGTGTGAAAAATTCATTCGAAAGATTGAAACGTTCATTAACTAATGCAAACACATTAGCTTATTTCAGATCTGACTGCAGGACAAGAATAATTGCAGATGCTTCACTGACAGGACTAGGATCCACTTTATCCCAACTGCAAGACGGAATTTGGAGAGTAATTTCGTATGCTTCGAGGACAATGTCAGACGTAGAAAGACGATATAGCCAGACCGAAAAGGAAGCTTTAGCTATAGTGTGGGCATGTGAGAGATTTAACTTGTATATTTTTGGCAGGAAATTTGAACTTGAAACCGATCACAAACCTTTGGAATGCATATACTCTAAAACTTCAAAGCCCTCAGCAAGGATTGAACGATGGGTATTGCGATTGCAAGCGTATGACTTCAAGGTAATATACCGACCGGGTAAGAATAATATTGCTGATGTATTATCTCCTCTTAATGCGCCTGACCAGCGTGATACAACAGCGAATATGATTTCTTCATACGAATGGTTGTATAAAGTAGTTGCCCGATTGCTTTGACGCCACATGAAGTTGAGATTGAGCAGGCATCTGCTAAAGACCCTGAATTGCAAATTGTGAGAGATTGCATTAAATCACAGAAATGGTCAAAGTGTGGTAATTCATTTTTGCATGTGAAGAATGAACTTTGTATTTATGGTCAATTAATTTTGCGTGGTACGAGAATTGTAATTCCACAGATACTCAGAAAACGTGTTCTAGAGCTTGCACATGAAGGACACCATAGAATTGTGAAGACGAAAAATCGACTTCGAAGTAAAGTGTGGTGGCCAAACATTGATCGTGATGCTGAACGAAAATGTAAAGTATGTCATAGATGTCAGGTAACAAGTTCGTATAGTCCGCCCGAACCAATGACACGAACGCGACCACCCAGTGGACCTTGGATAGATTGCTGTGCCGATGTTTTAGGACCTTTGCCTTCTGGTGATAACATACTGGTAATTGTAGATTACTACAGTCGTTTTTATGAAATTGTAATTGTGCGGTCGACAACAAGTAAGAAAATAATTGAAGCGTTGAGCACCATATTTTCAAGTTACGGAATTCCACTTACGTTAAGAACTGACAATGCACCACAGCTTGTATCTAATGAATTCAAATCATTTTTAGACGAACATGGAGTTCAACATAAATCTACTACTCCATTGTGGCCACAAGCGAACGGCGAGGTGGAGAGACAAAACCGAAGTTTAATGAAAGCCATACGAATAGCCCAAGTAGAAGGTAAAGATTGGAAATCTGAATTAAACAAATTTCTACTTGCATACAGGTATACACCGCATACAACGACGGGAGTATCGCCATATTATTTGATGTTGGTCGAGAGATGAGAACAAAGCTTCCAGAAATCAGACCAAAATACAACATAATCGGCGAAGAACACAGAGACAGAGACTGGAGAAACAAGCTACAAGGGAAATTTTACTCAGATTACAACAGAAGATCAATTTTACAAGATGTTGAGGTCGGAGATTCGGTGCTCGTTAAGCAAGAGAAAGTTGACAAGATGTCGACAAACTTCAATAAATATCCGTGTGAAATCGTCAAGAAGGAAGGAGGGGAAGTCACAGTCAGAGATGAAAAGGGAAAAGAATGTTGTCGCAATTCAACATTTGTAAAGAAATACGAAGAAGACACCCAGAATAAAATTGACAATAATGCCAAAGAGTCTCAAATTGCTCCAGACGCGACCAGGCCAAGTTCGGAGGAATCAATTACTCAGCCTTATGAGCGTCCAAGGCGAGAACGAAAACTGCCTTCCAGATTTAAAGACTTTGTAATGAAATAAGTCTAGTTTACCATCTACTCGTAACAAAAGGAGGGATGTAGTGTTCATGGTCCGATGGTCATGAATTGCATGATTGATTTAGTCCTGCGCGATATAAATGCGCAAGGATACATGCCAAGGGGAGCAGAAGGACATTGACGGCGTGGCTGGTGCTGGTTCTATTGTATGGTCTTATTCGCTGTTTATTAAGTTGTATCAGTTACTTTTGTGCATACTGAATTGTAGCAGTAAAAGCCTCTTTTTGTGTGCAAATATCGTGTGTTGCCTTGGGGAAAGCTTAGCAAGATAAAGAACATTGAAGTTAGAGGCGAGACACTACAAGCACTTAGAGCCAGAAATTTATTCTGTGAATCAACATTTCTTCTGCAATTGCCATAACATGATTGAAGTTTAAAACTGATGTATTCTGCTCAAAATGTAGATTAATTTCGTTTCACAATTACATTTAAGCATATTTGTCAGTTCGGTCAGATTCACAATACATTCTTTTACCTCTTGTTTAATAATAATATGCAATTCAAGAGTCTGCTGCACACAACAAAATGTATTTCTGTAACGTTTCGTCTGACCAAAATCAGGCTTCCTCGGACAAGCAGTTTACAACAATAACAAGAAAAGAACAATCATGTGGTTAAAATACGGCGATAAATAAATTTGTAGATCAGGGTTAGGTAGGCTGTCTAGGAACTCTTGCATAAAAAAGTTTGATTACTAAAACTTTGCGTAACAGCTCACAGCAAACATATATTGTAGCAAGTGGCCTACTACGTGTGCCCAAGGTCTGATTCCTTAGGGCTTCGAGCCTTAGACCGTTGGCGTTAGATAAGGTCTGATTTTGGTTTTCTTACTCTTCATAATTCGAAATAATAATTTGGATTTGGGAGTTTGAGGTATATGTGGCTCGTTCTGCACATTATCTTCAATGAGGATTATGCCTGTTACCGGAAATACGACAAACAGGTATTGCAAAGCCTATTTTTAGTGATATTTCTACATAGCAAGGTCATTCGGCGAGTTAGAAGCAAAGTGTCTACCGGTACAACCCAACCCCAAATAAGTAAGTCCATGCATTGGGTACGTTATAAGCGCTTGTGTGACGTCACACGTGCCATTTTGGGTCCAAAGTTGTATCACTGTACGGTAAACCTAAAATATTAAACAATGAGCAACAAATTTTAATATAAAAATTCTTGATATAAATATTGCTACTTGCACAGAACCTATTTTAACAAACTCACAGAACTATATCACAGAAACTTGCAATTATTTGTACATGTTCTAATAATGAAATCTGCCTATCGCTGAATTTCAACAAGGTGTACATTCCACGAATATATTGAAAAAATATACTCCATGCATGGAATGAAGCATAACTACATATAACAAGATTACAGGAACATCTAACAATATTGACTGTATGAAATAATATATATACTATCTATCTGACTTGAGCTCTTGCTGCATTTTTACTACCATACTGTTTTTCAATAATTTTATTTGTCACCTCTTTTGGGTGAATATATATTTAACATTATATTGCGAAAACGTTTAAAAATTTTAAAAGCGGCAATATGGGAAATCCTATTTCGAGCAGTCGACTTTATTTCCCAGAAGTAACTGGCGAACCTATATTATGAAAGGAATTAACATTGGCACGGAATAAAGTTTCTACTACGCGCAAAAATACGATTGCTTTTATGAATGGGTGGCAAAAATAGTGGTTAAAACTATTAATTTTCTAGACCAAAAAGAGTTAGTTACGATTATGGGCAATCATCGGGATTGACACTTTCTGTAAAAACAAACGCATATCTGCAGATTCCACTGTCTTGTTTTTTTTCACTTCTTTGAACATAGCTCAGCCTGTTAAATAATACAATGTATATATCAGCATTTCCGATTAGCTGGCATTGCCTTTCAGCTGGAACGAATGAAATGCAATTTTTGTAAAACCAGGCTGGAAGCAAGAATTACCATCTTCGTAATATACTTGAGTGTGATAGGGAAAGATTCAAGGCTCTGCGCACGTATTGATGTTCCATATTTAAAAAAATATATAAAGTCAAGTTTTTCTTCCCATGGACGTTAACACGGCTTCAATGGATTTTACATGCTTGCGCGACCGATTTGATTTCTCGTGACAACACATATATAAGTCATTTTTTACTGTTTTTAAAAAGCTGTAAGAAAATGCCTTTTTTTATTTGTAGGTGAATTAATGATCTGCGAGTATGGGTGGTTAATGGTCATAAAGCACATTGACCAATTTCCCTTTCCGCTCCTGTTTTACAATTAATGTAGATTTTATTTTGACCATCTGCCCGCAAGTAATTTAGGTAATCAGAAGCATACAACATACAACAAATGGCAATGTGATCTAATGAACGCAAGTGTTTTCGCATTTTTGTCACAATTCACCGTATCGACTCAAAACTCTTTATGAATCTATCAGTGATCCAGTTACATAGATTGAGAGAATTTGAGTTCATTCATTTTTAAAGGTGTTTTTTCAGTAAATATCGCTAAAGTGTTTCTTAGTAGGTTGAAATAGGTATCATTTTCAATAGTGGGCTTGGGCTGCGGCACCTACATGAAAGATACCGAAATAATAGTTGTTCCGTGCGAGGAGGTATTCCCAAACATTGTTCTGCCCAGCCTGAACCCCGCCTCTCCTTTCCGTTATTTAATCTCTGTAGATGTGGCAGTTGCGCATTGCAGTCATTTTGCTATTTGTCATGACAATAAGCATTTGTCATTTTTGTTCAACAGATTTATATTATAAACGCATGATGTCGCATGAGATATTTTCATACAAATTTAAAAAAAAAGTGACAACTTCTCATTTCATTATATTACTTGAGCAATTACTATGCTCATTGCTAGGGTGGGGTCGGTCGTCGGGACATAGAAAAATGATGGATTCGCTCGCTCCTTTATGTAATCTATGTAAAGAATGGAATTTTGCTCGTGCATCAACTCAGAATCGAGAGAGGTGACTGAGCGAAGTTACAGCAATCACTGATGTGCCTTGAGCGATACTGATACAATTCTAGGTGCCCAAAATGAATTAGTATAGAACCCGACATAAATCTATGCTGCAGGAAGGTGGTTAGGGTCTATGTTGAGTCTTGCAATTACTAAAAATGGAAAATCGGTATATGTGCATATTGCAGTCACTCGTGTGTATGCTATTCAGTTGTTCCACAGGACCTTTATTAGGGATATACGTTACGTCTGAGAATAGTTAACCGTTATTAAATGGTTAACAGTTATAATTGATTTTGGACTGCCGTACAAGGTATTATGTTAATGCCCAATCAGTATAAAAATACCTCCAAATATTCAAAACAGTTGCATATTTTTGTGAAAGATCAACGGAGCAGAGCGGCTAGTTACTGGGTAGATACTTTTGGTCTACGGACAAGATTTATTTCCGAAAATTATATATTGAGTGTGGAGAAGTTAATTTATGCCGGGCCTTTGACACCAACAGTGGTTAAGCAGTCTATTATACCATTTTAACAGTTAAAGCGGCTTTTCATGAAATTCTCAGCCCATTATACGTATATATATATTTGGCTCTTTTAATTTTGAAATATTCACTCCAAACGGATGCATCACAATCGTATACCCTGTGTTCTTTGTTCGTCCAATATTTTTTTATCAATCACAACGAATCTTGAATATCTGAACAAAATGAAATGGCATGAATACCATTTCCTTATTCAAGGAAAGGTTATAATGTGACAAACGGATAAATGGATCTGTAGCGCCTATATATACCTGAAAATAGGACATGACGTTGGAAATATTTATTATTTTTGAGAATGCAACCCCTCGATACAAAGGATAAATAACATTCAACCGTGTGAATATTATCCACCATTCCTTGCTTTTATATAAAATTTCTCCATCTCAATATGTAACAATTTTTACCCTGATTAACGTCAACTTGATACTTTCTTTCAACTTTCTCAATCAATTCGGACTGCATAGTTGGCCCCGAAAAATTTATTATTCTCAGAGATGACTTTCCACAATCAAATTTAATGCCATCCTCCATCAATCCAACTGCAGTCGTTTCAAGTGTGAAAACTGCTGTAACCTGAATTGCAATGTAGTTTTTCATTTAGTTTTAATAAAAATAAGATGAAGCTGTCAATACTTTCATTGTTGTGTAAAAGGTGTGATTTGTAAAATCTTTATCTAGCTACAATACCGTCGCATTTTAGTAACGAGTACAGTTTGAACATACCTCAAAAATTTAACTATAATCACTTCCAATTCTGAATAAAAATAATTCTTGGATAATTTAACGATTCATGTCGTTATTTCAGCATTATAAAGTGGATTCACACGCACGACTTAAAGTCGCAACTTCTAATTTTATTTGGGCGCTGTATTACTAGTAAATTTAAGTGTTACCTGATGGGTTTTTACGGCTTCCAGCATGCTTTTGATGTCACATCTCTTTCTGAAGACTAGTTTGCACCCTGCAAAAAGTGACGCAAGCATCGTCTCCACGCCTAACTTCTGAATCATTGGTATGTCAAAATAATTACACTGTGAATCGTATTTGGTTGGTGACCAGCATAATCTGAAAATATTGCGGAAAAATCGTGTTAAAACGCGCGGTTGAAGGGGGCGATTACATTTTATCATTTTTGTTATATACTCGACTGGCGCGTTTGTTTTTGCTTTCTTGGCGATAAAAAATGAAACGCTATTCTATTTACTTACGTTTGTGCAATACACTCAATTCTTCTAGTAATGCTTGTATGTGTTGTAGAATTGTCTTTCAGTGTTTCGTTGTCATCGTTTGCATAGGATATAATTGCTACGTCAAAGTTAGGGTTAATGTCAACTTTAGGAAAATCTGAAGAAATAATAGTAGGACTGAAAAATTACATTATAGCAAGGTAACATACATTATCAAGTCACTGATTTATCTATGAAATTTTTTCAACACCAATCATTGAAATGAAACACGAGAAAAGTACTCACCACTTGTCGATTGAAAAAAATACGAGGTTGTTATATATTTCTCACTTTCTCCGATGATAATCACTTTCTGCAAATTTAGAATAAGTAGATGTTTGCTTGTAAATATTATAACGCACGAGGTCAAAAACCAGAGAGAATGTGAAACAGAGACGCACTGGAAGGAAGGGACTTGTCTAAAGAGGGCCGAAGGGAAAGTCGCCCCGGCAGAACGTTATAGGGGTGCGTTTGTTGCTTAGCTTGATAAAAATAATAATAATACAAATATGTCACTCTTACTTGACCTATAATTTATTATTCTCGTGTATAACAACATCTATACTTTGTTTATCCCCAAAATATTTTTTGACGTTAGGTATTGGAGCATCATTATCAGAAACTCGCCCGACACTCGCTTTGGCACGCCTCTGCCAGGGGTAAACGGATAAGAAATTTATATCGAAGAATAGATCATATCGTATTTATTTAAATATATTTTTCACATTACGTCGTATTTTTTTTGATACCTTCACCATTCTGATTTTCTGCACAACCTGATCCACTGTTTCAGAGGCCTCTTCCGTTGAAATGACCATAGTCGGTCCACAATGTTGGAAGTGTTCAAACATTTTTTCTGAAGAACAATAATTTCGATAACATGTTTTACTGATCAAGGTTTATGTATTCTTTTTATTATCAAACTTTACATGCCTCAAATCCAAATAGACGAAACATTCTGGTTTGGGTGGCGATGGGCTTGAATCGAAATCTCAAACCTGCGAGGCCAACATGAATAGTTTGGTTCAACTTTTCATACATGCTCACGTTGCAATATACCGAAGCCGAAAATTTTATACAATTGGTATTTTCTGTGAACTGACGATTAACGAAAACCACATACCGTTTAGTCGTGAATTCCACTCTGCATGCTTTGTACAACTATTTACTTGAAGCATATTTTCTGTCATAACTCAGAACACATCATCGTATACTATTTAATTACCTCGAGAACAAATTACCTGTACTTCAATTGATCAGGTAAACGTTTTTCGCGCATGGAATCGTGCCCATATAAAATGATTAAAGAAAGCAATATTTGGACTGATATCCCCACGACTTTTAGATGGTGATACGTGTTATTATGGTTATTTACATTTCAGAATCTGGTTTTTACCATCCCATGTCAAGATATAAATTTTCCTAAAATATGACATACCTTTTGTGAATGTCGGGGTGCACAAAGAGACTCTAGCACCACAAGCAATGATTCCCAGCATTACAACTGGAAATTCCAGGCAGTTTGACGAACATAGCGCGACAACGTCTCTTTTTCTCAATCCTTGTTCGTACAAATACCCTGCACAATTTCTAACTTGATTGTAAAATTGATTGTACGTCAAAGAGTTTCCGCCATTAGAGTCGTCTACCTGCCCACATAAAGAATAATGATGCTTGTAAATATTTTATCTCTATTTTAAAATTTCAACCAGGAATTAGCGTGAGAAAAAGTTAAGGCAATTTTATGAACGAGCTACCTACATGTGGTATCATATTGGCCGTCAAAATCAACATAACATAATTCGGGACAAATGTAGTATATATGAGACGAGATTTTAATTATTCCGAGTCCATGCTTACAAGAAAACGGCTGAGAAGCCATTTCCACCAAATGAAATAATATGTTAAGAATTACGTTTAGCTATAGCTGATCTCATCTTACCAGTGCAGTTTTATCTCCATATGATCTTATTTTCTCCAATAATATTTCCGTTAAAGATTTGTCCAAATTGTTACCATTCTGTCTTGTATCCCCGGTTAAAATCGTGCCTTGATTAACGTAAGACACAGTTCGGTCCACTTTGCAGTCATAATTTTGCATAACTTGTTGTTGTTATGTTTTATGGCGCTTATACATAAAACTATGCCAAGTATAAACTGTTGGCAATCATTTTCTGCCAAATGTAGCAATAGTAAATCATGTGCTTGTGCTATTGCAGGCGTTATCGTGACGTAATTCAATGTTTTATTCATAATATAATTTGACTCACTAAAGATACAGTCTCGGTGTGCTGCTGACAGAGTAGAAGATACTACTTCCTGGAACTGTGAATTCATAGCATACCTAGGCGACATAATACTTCCTCGCTGCTCAATTTCACTTTCGTATTACCAATCTACGAAACCTACATTTCAACTAAAGTCAATATTCTTAACTGTTTATGAACCTTCCTGTTTACTCTATGCTGTATTTGTCTGTGAAGCAAACTAATTACACATCGCAATCCTGTTCATTGATCATTCAATGGATGAATATAGTTAGCCTACATGATGCCATAGCAAATGTATAGTATAGTATCGAAAAAGGTGTTGTTATCTTTATTTCAGCTCGTGACACGATACCGTTTCGCAGACATGGGCTTTTATATCGAATGTACATTTCACAAAAGGTGGTACGCGCAGCGCTGTGTGGTTCCGCTTACTGACATACAATAACGAGATTTGTATTGAGCTATTCGATACGGCGTCACTTTATTCATCAGGGGCTTCAAACATAGCCTTTCAATACAAAGCTATATAAGTCTCTAGACGCATAACCTCATTTGAACTTGGAAATGGCGGAAGGTCTGTATAAATGTTATAATTAAGCGTTTATTTTCCTATCTATAGAATTGGGATTATTCGTTGATAGCGCTTCAACGAGTAAAGTAACCATTTTTGATAAATAGAGTTAAACTTGCTAAATTTGATTTTCGCGAGCCTCTTTATTTAGCTAGCATTGCTATCAGTCGTTCACCAATCTATGCATTGAAACAAAAAACTGAATGCTGTTAATTCTAAGGACGCTTCTCTATGTTAATCTGTGTTGTTGAATATCGACAAGGATTGAAAATGAAAACATATCATGTCATGAATATAATACTAGGAGTGACATTATGTCGAAAATCATCCCACCGAAGTAAATCACTAAATGACGACTTCACAACACTTCAATTTTCCGTATTAAAGGCCAAGTATGTGCTCTCCGAACTTTGCAAGATATGCGTATTAAACGTTTAATATTGTTTTTTTCCAAAAAAAGATTTATAGTACATACTTTCAAATCATGTAAACATAAACAACCGGAACATAATAGGAATGTAAATATTAACTTCAGGGTCGTTGTCTTTTTCGTGCCATCAGTCTCTGTTGTAAGAGATTTTGCATATTCGCCTTTTCACGTTTCTCTTGTTTTCGTTGTCGCTTTCTCTCACGTTTCTGTTCCGCCTCCATCTCATCAAATTGTGCATCTACATCTTGCATTGCTTGACGCAAACCTTCGAATACAATATTGCAGAAAAGTAATTCATTGGCGGCATAGACACCGCAGGGGGAAATACGATCATAACCAGTAGTGGGATTCAATTTTTTGTCAGCCGGTTCCTTCACAAAATTTAAATTTTTCAGCCGGTTCTATCACAAACAGAACATTGACAGTAACCAGTAATGCTAACCGGTTCGCTGATCTCATAAAATTCTGTGAGACGATTCTATAGAACCGGTGCGAACCGGCTGAATCCCACCACTAATCATAACTATGTTGCAATACAGAAATCGGCTTCGATTGCGTGTTTGTAACGCGTTTTTTTTTCAAATCAAAGCAGATTCACCCGCACTCACTCGAAAAGTACTGACCCTTTAGCGAAGTTACGGGCGGCCAATGAAGTGCAAAAGCTATTAATACTATACAGGATTTTTACCGTACATTAAGCGTTAGAAAGCACCGATTGAAGCGATTTATCATAATTTTATCATAATAGTTTTATTTTGTCGGGTGGGTAGACTGGCAGTAAACGGATGAGAGCTAACAGCCAACAAATATGACAAGGACGTATTATTAAATTGTACATATGAAGTATCCGTTCACGGGACAAATATCGACGAGCTTAGAAAAATGATCAAACATTCATTGACACATTTCGAGACGCCATATATTCATTCCAAATCAACCGCAATCGGAGACCCAGTCTAGTTTTAAACGGTGCTATTTATCGGACTTGGCATTGAGACAAGCATCGAGTTGCGTTGTCAGCACAAATAAGTCAATGACAAATAAGATTGTTCAGAAACTTATTGATGATATCCTCAACAATGCAGGCCCACGAATTGAACCCTGATGAATTACAAAAGTGATTGAGTATGTTCGGGTTTCGCTTTGGGACTCGCAGACTAGGTAATTTGCAATCTCAATAAATTGCCATTGCATGGTTTTCATTGTAATAAGGGAAAGTGGGTATGAATATTATGATTCCTAGTTAATACCTGTACGTATTTGGTTGATTCTGGGTTCTCGAGTGAAGATATAGTTAGCGCATTTGTGCAATCTCCAGATCTCTCTGAAGTGTTTTATGCCCCTACTTCAAAGTATGCTCTTTACTAGCAGTCACTAATAAGTGTGGGGTTACTATTTATGGGAATACCGGAATCTTGGTTAATGCGGGGTGCAAACCCCGACTATTTATCATACCATGCAACACCAACATTGTTAAGACCATGCTAGGCCATAGAGCCCATGTGTTCAATAGCAAGACAAACAATCGAAAAACTCACCTCCGCCGCCTCCCATGATTGTCTGCATCGCTGTAGCTGCCTTTGCTCGTTTTCTGGTTCCAAATGTCACATCGTTAACTTTATCATTGAAAGCTTCTTTCTTGCCAGTGATGCGTAACATCGCATTTCCAATATTTGCAGCTCCCTCTGCGCCACCGATAACTGCTCCGGCCATTCCAAGTCCTTTTCCAACTTTTGCCATTTTCCCCATCTTACCTCCTTTCATTTTACCCATTCCTCCTCCACCACCCATTTTACCACCACCTCCTCCTCTCATACCCCCACCCATCTTCCTACCGCCTCCTTTCATGCCTCCCCTCATTTTACCACCGCCTTTCATTTTTGGGCCTTTCATTTTTCTCATCTTTGGTTTTTTGAAGCCTTTCATTTTACCCATTTTTGGTTTTTTCATACCTCTCATTTTCCCCATTTTAGGTTTTTTAAACCCCTTCATCTTGCCCATTTTAGGCTTTTTAAATCCTTTCATTTTTCCCATTTTAGGCTTTTTGAAACCCTTCATTTTGCCCATTTTTGGCTTCTTGAAACCCTTCATTTTTCCCATTTTAGGCTTCTTAAATCCTTTCATTTTGCCCATTTTAGGCTTTTTCATTTTGCCGAGTTTGGGTTTTTTAATATTAGGCTTCTTCATTTTGCCAAGTTTGGGTTTTTTTATTTTAGGTTTTTTCATTTTCCCCAATTTCGGTTTTTTACCCTTTCCAAGTTTCGGCTTCTTGCTTTTTCCCAATTTCGGCTTTTTCATTTTACCCGCTTTCCCTTTTGGCTTGGCAGATTTTGGAGCTTTTTTGGGTTTTGCCTTCGGAGTTTTGCCCTTGTCTTTTTTCGTCGGTTTGGCTTTTTTGGATGGTTTGTCCTTTATTTTGTCTGATTTCCCACCCTTTGTCTTCTTTCCACTTTTATCTAAAAAATGAATTTTTATCTTCAATACTTAAAAACTTTAAATATCATATTAGAAATAAACTTGGCGGCAGGCTGAATCTTGCCTAAAATATAGAGAGTATTAAGCTATCTTGAATCCATTTCTCGTATATTTACATAAAGATGAATTCAAGAGCGAAACTTTACAAAAAAAATTTGTTAGTGTGCAATAACACTTATGTAGCATATAGGCCTTCGTGATTCACGTTAAAGGATCCACTAGCCTAAAATCATTAACGAAAATAGATAAATAGTCTTGTGTGAATTCAAGTTATTTCATCATCTATTTACCTGTCTTTTGTTTCTTCTCGGGCTTGTCTTTTTTTGGTTTGTCTTTCTTATTTTTTTTCTTGTCAGTTTTTTGTTTATTTTTGTCTTTCGTTTTAGTCTTGTCTTTATCTTTCTTTTCCTTGGTTTTCTCAGCCTTGTCCTTCCCTTTTCCTTTTTTGTCTTTCTCCTTACTTTCTTTTTTATTTTTATCCTTCCCCTCTTTATCTTTTTCTTTTTTATCCTTTCCCTTGGTATCCTTTTCCTTTTTATCCTTCTTATTCTTCTTATCTTTTTCTTTCTTTTCTTTTTTCTTATCCTTCTCCTTCTTCTTATCTTTTTCTTTTTTTTCTTTATTCTTCTTTTTGTCTTTTTTCTATTAAAATATTCAAGTTTCAACTAACAAAAAAACGAGCACTGAATTGCGCTATAGTATTAAAAACGGAAGCTCGAGTTATTCGGAAAGCATACTTTTTTATTTTCTTCGCCTCCCATATCATCTCCTCCGTCATCATCGTCGCCACCTCCGTCATCATCATCGTCACCTCCAAAGTCATCAAAGCCACCAAATCCACCATCACTATCCTATTACAGAACAAAAATACAATTCTCCCTACTTTGGACTTTTTCTGAACTTGTAGGATATTCTGTATGAAAATATTTATAACATCATTTGAGTGTTAACCAATATTGTATACATGGCCAACTTATCCAGCAGTATATTGTTAGTCGTGATGTCAGACCTTCCAAATCGGGTTTGTACTCGACTTTGAATTGACCCAACAAGTCTTTTTATTTTAAGACTTGATTTTATATGTTATCAGTTTTGTAGAACAAATCAATCTCCAGAAATAGAACAATCTTACATAACTGAAATCGAAAGTTATGCGGTCAGCTATGAGTACAAAATATAACAAATAATAGCATGCCTTGTTTTTATACTAAAGGCTAGAATTTATCTAAACTAAAATACGAACCTCATTATCTTGATTTCTTCTATTTGCAACTGCGCCAAACAAGTTTCCCAATAGGCCTCCACTTCCTCCCGATCCTGAATATGATCGACTTTCTCGATGTCTGTGATCATCTGCATAATGATGCCTTTTACTATGCCTTTGTGAATAATAGTAAAAATTATACTAAAATGTATATTTATGGCGCTAAAAAGTTTGAAAAACCTATTCACAGTCATTGGCGTATTAGCCTGAGCGCTCAATACATGGTGAATTCATCCCGAAAGTTGGAGCATTTATGAACAAAGAAAATTATTCTGCCCCTAACTTTTATTGTTATATTATTGAACACTACCCAGTTCTCACATAAAATACAAATAAAATTGGTTGTATTCCACGGAGATGTTTATATAAAAATCATATTTCTATAAAAAAAATGGAAAGGCTTCCGCACGAGATCAAACTCCAGTCGATCATCAAAAGATTTTCTCAATAGTCTCATAATTTCGTGTCACTGTTTCTACCAAATTACCTGTGCCTGTGAGATCTGGTTGAATAACTATCTGAATAAACAGAATTTTCATCCTTTGTCTGTCTTTTCTCATGTTGTAACTTGGTTTGAGTAGAATGTCGCTTTTCCTTCTTTGCTTTCCGAACTGTCAATAAATAAGATACTACATCCAAAAACATAACAAATACTTGCATTCCTTTGGGTGACTAAAAAAGTTCAACATGACAACGAACTAAATATAATTGGTGCTTATTACTATCCGCGCGCCAACTTGTCCACAACTGCGGCACTCTTGAGATCGAATTGAAATGCCACATCGTACAGAATAAGCTGAATTTGATCTACCCAACAGATTACTCTAAACTGTGCATTTGCCACAATACATAGTACTTCATTTACTTATCTACCTTTTTTTTCTTCAACTTCTTCGTATGATGTTGTATGTCCAGAAGACGACTGTGGAGTAAAGCACAAAAAAGTCTTTAGTATTATTTCCGTCATATTTCGGTTAAAAATATCTGTTGATTATCATTTACCAATTTTTCAGTCATGTCCCCTGGTTGGTTTTTCTTTGGCATCAGCAAAAACATCGATGAATGATCTGGCGGCATATTGTCAATGTCTGCTTTCTTGTTACCTTTCTTTTTCTTAGCAGTTTTCTTCTTAGGTTTTGGCTGACTATCAACAGCTTCGCTACCAAAAGGCAGAATAATATTCCGGTAAATAAATGATGCACCCACCTACCTTAGTGGTTCAAAGTTCGCTGAAGAACAACTTATATAGATTCGTGCACAGCAAAAGTTGGGAATAATTTTAAAATGAGATAGAAAAGCTCACTTGGAATAAGCCTTGCTTGAACCTAATTCAGATCCCGACCGATGCGCATCTCTGGCTGCCTTTTTCCTATTTGCAGGTCTAGGAAACTCATATGCATAATGAAAATCAGGCGTATCATCTGGAAAGACAAAGTTTTGCCAGTTTAATTGAAGAAAGTATCACAAGTGTACATTACGACAGAAGTAGAAGTTCAATAGTCGTATATTTGATCTAGTATTTATATTGTATTATCGAAAAATTCTCGCAAAATAAATACTGCCTGTTGTCGTATGTTACATGTTGGAGGATAAATTTTTTGGTATTATTAAAATTGTCAAACAAAGAATAGTTGCAAATGCCCATTTCGATTCCGTATAACATCACGAAAACTTTTGTATCATCTCGTCGTGAAAACTTACCATCCGAGTCGCCAACGTGTAATATCTCGTGAAATTTCATGATTAATTTTTCGTCACCAAAATATGGATTCTCCACTGATCCATCATTCAATGCACGATCCTCCATCAAGCACGCAAATATTGTTCTGTAACAGAGGGTATTCCAAAGGGGAAAATTCACTTTGAAAATCTTTTAAATATATATCAATAAAAAGCATAAAAGTTTTTTACATAGAACTTACCCGACGGCTGCATTGAATAAAGAGAGAAATATATGGGCAACAACAAATGAAATTGCAGCACTCATTGCGAGCGGATATCCGTAAATAAAAACTCCTTCTTTATTTCTCAAGAATAAAAAACCAAACGGTAAAACAACGATTACAACAGACAACTTCCCAAGAAATAGGGAAAAACTTGAAATAGCACCAAGACCTTTGAGTTTCTGAAAAAACAAACGCACTGAATAAAAACAAGAATACAATTCACAGACGTGAACAAATAGAGTATGTTATTCACGGTTCTTTTTCAGACCGATTTTTACTATTGTCGTGAACTTAATATGTGTATAAAATGATACTCAAATTTGGAAGTTACAAATTACAATCTACAGTATAGCATACCAATATATTCTCGTTAAGATCTGACAATGATAACATACATTGTCGTCAGATGAGGTTAAATAGCGTCATCAGATGTACATTAACTAATCTCGTGATAATGACATGATTTTGTATTTTCTGTCTATATAAACGTACCGGGTCTTTCACTAGCATATCCCGGACGTCAAATCCAGCTTGTATAAAAGACGATCCTTTCAATGCAACAATACTGAAATTTATATCACTTATGTAAATCAACAAGTTGTTCAGGACATAAAAGCAAGGAGAAAATAATTGAGCGACGAAACGTATATATTTGACAGGAATCTCCAAACTTTGAGGTGGCTTTGGCTGCGTCTAAAATGAACAACCCAAAGGGTGAAAGTAATTTAAACAATCAAATGTTTCCTAATTTATCAGCTCAAATACCTGACTTGCAGAGGAGTGCTTTGAGTATTTCGTGTTGGCGGAATTTTTGGAACATTTGCTATTTACTTCAGCTTCTCCACGGTCAGAATAATATGGCTCCTCCTCTGGTCCTTTGGAAGCCGCCGGAACGTTATCACCTGAAATGCTTTTCTTCGAAGTTTGGTCTTTGCCCTTTTCGTAATCATATTGGACGCTATATGGTTTCCCATAATAATCAGAATAAGGTTGTGAATCATCGATGGGTTGTGGCTCATCCCCGCCACTCAGTAATGCCCGATTTAACCGTGACTGAAGAAAACTGAAAAAGAGTGGTATATACATATGATGATAGATATGTATGTATATATATTTATTGTGTATTAAAATTCCTTTTTCTTTATTAGATGCTTAATTAGATTATTGTCTGAAGAAATCTTACACCTATACTTGCTATTTCGTGGAAAGATATATATTCAGGTACTAAAACGTCTATTCTGGGTATTATATTTGTTTACGACAGGGGTCGGCAATCTTTTGTCGCTCGCGGGCCAAAATAAGGATTGTAAGTCAGTGGCGGGCCGCACATATTTTCAGAAAGTTGAAAACCGAACGAATGATACTTTTTATATTAAAGAACAAGCAGTGATACATCTCTCGAATAGAATATACATTTATTTCCTCATTGCATTGCATCTCATAAAATCCCATTTGAATATTTGCGGCGTCATTAAACTTAGTATAAACTTTTCTGCGTTTTCTTGTCATTTGTCTAATTATAATTAAATGCTCATCAAACGAGTAATTGTAAATTTTATACTTGTTAAATTATAATATAATTTAGTCCACACGTGTCGCTCAATAAATTCTGTTACTTAATGAATATTATCGTCAAACCAGGTATTTTGTTACTATAATTAAGCGAAGCGTCGCGGGCCGGGATATATCACTCCGCGGGCCGGACCCAGCCCACGGGACGTAGGTTGCCGACCTCTGGTTTACGACATGCCTGATAATAATATGCTAATATCTGAATATCAAATTACGAGAGAGTTAACCTGAACGGAGCTCTCATCCATCCCAGGAATCCGACTAATAAACCACCAGCGGCGGCAGATCCCAAGTGGCATCGCAGCAATCGAGAACTTCCTATTCTTAATGGCCTGTCCAGGTCTTCTTTGTCTTTTATAAAATACCAGCTTGCTATAGCAGAACACGCAATCAGCGTTTGACATGCCATAATGAAGTTGAAAAGCCAGGCAAATGCTAAAAACTCAAAAAGAAGTACCCAGTTTGTGTACACAAGATCTTCCTCTATCACAGCGCGTGGGAATTTGTAGATGGTATCTTCAACAATACTTATATCGTCTTTGAACACAGCAGTCAGTAAATTTACCGTGTAGAGAAATAGACCTGCTGCAAAACTGACTGAACATAAGGTTACAACAGGTAGGATGTAGATCCATCGAACTTTTATCATGGCTCGAATCGCTATACTAAAAAGAGCAGCCGCTGCATCCATGTTGCGCTTGCCGACAAGACAACAGATAAAAGTGAGAAATAGTGTGAAAAAAGTCACATAAATTGAAGCGTCACGGAAAACAATAGAATACCCTGCTTGTGGAACAGAGTTTCGGGAAATAGTTTGTTTTGGACTTTGAAGGTGGTGAGGTTTCCATTGGTTCCCCGTCAAATTTCCAGGTGCAAAATCACTGTTCATTATGTCGCTTTCTCCTGCGGAATAGAGTACCGTTGCGGAGTCGTTAGCGCTAATACCGGAATACATATACCACATACAAATAGAAGATATTAAACCCACGAATGTAAATGAAGAAAAGCTAAACCAACATATAGTATCTGAGGCGCTTTGTATGACACAGATAAAAATCATGGTACATCCAGCAGCAATCAGTGTCATCCAGGTTAGTTCTGCGGCACAAGTGCCACAATCGGCGATGACGTTATGAACCCAATGCGTAGAATAAAGGCTGAGCATCTTGTTCTGTTTTTCAACTGATATGGATTCAGAAACGACGTCCGGTACGCACCGAGAGTTGCGTTCTGAGAAGGAGAGTGTTCTCATTCTCACCGTATTCAATTCTCTTTCTGCAGATCTACAAAGCAAATCATTTATTACGTTTGGATATATAGATTTTATTCCAAGATATTCCCAGCAATCAAATGTTCTTGTAATAAGAGGACAATGCTCAACACATATTGATGTAGTAAACGGTATTTCAGACATCGCAACGGCGTCACCAGAGGTTAAGACAGACGAACGACTGAGAAAATCGAAAATAAGCAATTTGTCAAATTTAGTCATATCTCTTCCTGAAAATACAGATCCCGTAATGGGCAGATTTTCGTATCCACATATATTTCCCCACGAGTCAATTCCCTGAAAATAAACTTCAGGTTTTCCGTAGGCTATAGCTCGGTTCATTCCAGCCATCATACCTAATAAAACTGTTATGAATAAAACAAGTGAAGGCATGTCCGTTACTGTTCGATTTTCTGCTTCTGGAAGATCGAAGTCCTTAAAATCTGGGTCCTCTTCGGAGTTGAAAAACGTCAAGCAGTTCATAAAAAAGCCTTGCCATCCTTGCCCACAGGTCACTATTTTTGTCACAACGGCAAAAGCCTTTTTAGCCCATTCTACGATACCAGCAATGCAAAGACAAACTACACCAATGCACTGCAAAATACAAGACACAGCCTCTGCTACAGCGACAGCCATTTTTGGTTGATCTTACTCAAGTGGAACGTAGCGTTTCAACTGGCTGTCACTGAGCTCTCCCGGAAGCGGCATAAGATCTTTCTTACGTAGTCATATTTTTTCAAAATGTTTTATGATTCAGGGTATATTAAAAGCATCAAATAAGGTAAATAAATTATAGTGACGTCATAATTGCTCGAAAATAGATATAATATTTTGAGTTCCATGTTTAAACAAACTTGTGGCGCATATGAGACAACAGTTGGTAAATTAAGTAACCATACAAACAAACACGTAACTTATTTAAATGGTATTTTTGCTTCAAATTAAATATAATTGTTGGACACGTTTAGTGGCCATAGCGATCGTTTCAATATTATGTTGTTGTTGTTGTTCTTTGACACGTTTTTAAAAAATCGCTTTTCTCTTCGAATACTGGACCAATTGCTTTGAAATTTTCAGTGGTTAAAGATTAATTTCTTCGCTAGAAGGCTATTACTTTTATTTATTTCAAAATTTTGCGTGAATTCTATGAAATTTGATATTTCGTCTAATATTTTGCTGTATTATTTTTTATCCATGGGAACACGGATTTTAGTCAGTGTCATGACTGGCTGTACGTTTTGATTCTGCAAAATTCTTGCTACTGGAAATTCAGAACTTTTTTGAGGGTACCGGTAGCGTCAAAGGTACCGGTAAAGACTGATTCGCTCTGGTCTAACGTGTCCATATATTTGTGCGTAGCTCTCTTGTTTTTGTTATATCATTGAATATGATATTTCCAAGTAGGCTAATACTTGCAGAACAAATAAAAATAGAACTGGAATTTGTTTAGACATTTCTCGGGAGACCACGTCGGTTGGAGAATGTCTAACAAGTTGTCGCTTCAGAATCTCTTTATCCGGCCGTCGGTTACGTGAATGAACCAACTTGTGGCGTTGGATAGCCCTGGTTTCCACATAAATGTTTTAAATGAAACATGATACGCCTCGTGTGTATACGCAGCTTCTTTTTGTTATATTATTCTCACGTGAAATCACCTAATTGATAGCAAAACAATAGGTATTGTGAGACCGAACAACTCTATTTATACATTCAAGACAAATAGGGATTTCTGTTTAGTGGTGACTTGAGTAAAATTAGTCGAAAATGAGCAGGCAGAAATATCATACATACAAAACTGAGATCATATCAAAGCGTACTAATATTCGGAACTCCATTATTGCATCATAAAGTTCCATTTTCTATGTGAGAAATTTCATGTCTCCAAAAGTGTGGAGCGAGGCTTGTCGAAGCAAAATAATAGTGACTTCACGTTGAAATCTTAATAAGCATTGATATTGTGGCTCGGATATAAAATATAATAAAAGATACGACGTTTTTGACATATGTATCTCGAATTTGTCCCATACTCATGGATACAAGTAAATATTTTTCAATTCTTAGTAAAATGAAATATTGAATAAATATATTGTTGTTGGACGGGGTTTATGGTTATGGTTATGGGAGACAATATTTATGCAAACGTTGATGCTGGTATGGTTACGACTGGATTTTCATCCATCGGACAAGGTAGACAAGAACCTTACGTTGCCGGACATGTTTATGAAAACACGTTATCTGCGGGTAAATATTAACTATTCAATTGTATATATATATATTGATGTATTTCTAGGAATAAAGCAATTCTTTTTGTATTTTTTTATACTAATCAGGTAAATCATATGAAAATGCACGATGTCAAGATCCACCAAAAAAGAAAAGACGTTGGAGATCTTTGGCTCTAACAATTGTCATTGTATTGTTGGTGGCATCCACTATTTGTTCTCTTGTGCTGTCAGCCTGGGTAAGATATTGAATCAGAACTATGTGATATTAAAGTACATATTTTAGTCGTAGTTTTGATTTTTCGAGTACTAGTTTTCTCGTGTGTAATGCTTAAATAGACTTGTTTGTTGTATCCATGAACATCTACTTCGCGGGATTAGTTTCGCCATGAAATGCGTGAAAATGTTTAAGCATTTTTATCGCGTTTTGCATATATCAAAGAAAAATTCCTTTGTTATTTTCAGGCTGTCGGAAGTTTGAAGAAAGAAATCATAAGTATGAACCGATTATGATTAATTATCTTATTTATAACTTATCTTATAACTATTTCGATGCCCATTCGAAAAAAATGTTTTGGCGTTACCTTGTCACTTGGCCAATCAGACCAGTAAAAAATAACCTGACATAGTTGGCATTTCAAATATGTTCATAAAATAGATGGTCAAAACCTGGTGAACGATGATTTGCAGGTATCATAATAATTCAGGTTCTGTTGAGGATTACATAAATACAATACAGTACGTATAAAGACAATGTTTCTGCAGTGTAAAGTGGCGTCTTTAGGAATCAAATCCAGAGTTATCAATTTTCCTGGGATTTACAACAATTTAGACAAATACACGGACGGACACGCAAAAATATTGTGATTAAAATGGAAAAATACGTAGCACTAGAATCAAAATACAAAGTATTAAACTATACAGAAGTTCGTTAATCTTTAAATTTGTAGCATGGCGTTGATTTGAATGTGAGCGCCGTCACGTGCGAAGAAAGTTTTATGTTGCCGAAAAACTGAATGAGTAATTCACATGTTTCAGATATCACCAATCTCAACTACAATGTTACAAATATGACACTGAATGAAACAGAAAACGGCCATGTTTCAGATATCACCAATCTCAACTACAATGTTACAAATATGACACTGAATGAAACAGAAAACGGCCATGTTTCAGATATCACCAATCTCAACTACAATGTTACAAATATGACACTGAATGAAACAGAAAACGGCCAAGAACTGGACGCCCTAACAAATCAACTTCATTCTTTACGATCTCAAATTTTGGATTTGCAAAACGGTTTCACGCGAGTAAGACTTCAAAGTGGTTGGTCAAATGAAGGTCGTGTAGAAATTCTTCACAACGGCACATGGGGAACAATTTGTGACGAAGGTTGGGATAATACTGACGCCGGTGTAGTATGTCGCATGCTTGGATACGATCGTGCCTACGCGTACTGCTGTGCAATACACGGCGAAGGAAGTGGACCCATATGGCTTTCCGGGATAGGTTGTGATGGAACCGAGAATAACATTGCGTCTTGTAAAAATCTTGGCTGGGGTAATCATTCCTCATGCACCCATAATAATGACGCATCTGTATACTGTATTTGAACTGAACCAACTCGAGATTCGTGGTTGATTAATATCTTGGAGTTAATTTCTAACAGATACAACGTGGATGGGGAAAACTTTCCTAAATAATACTGATTATTCAACCAGCCGTTATTAGGCAATGACACCGAAACCTGATTCAATTCTCTAGGATTTCGGATCGTTTGTAACAGCGGCATAACCTACTTCCAAGTCCCAATAGCTGACACTATTGGTGTAACCGTAAATATATACTAAGACGTTTAACCGTAAATATGGTTTAACAAAACTTTGGCGTCAAGAGAATATAAATCGATATATATATATACACTTGGCTATTTTTACATGCTTGGAATCAAATATCTACAAAATCATTTAATGGAATGTGTCAATTTTATATGCTGATGTAAATAAGCGGTTTTCAACTTTTTTTGCTGGAACGAAACATCAGTGATTCCAGAGGATTGAGGAACCGCTGTGCAATAGTTGATTGCGTTTTTTCTTTGTAGCCTATTGTATAAATTATATAAACGCAAACAAAGAGGCCACAAATGAACTTTGGAATGCAGCAAGTATAATATTTGTGACAAATCGAGATAATTTTATCTGTGATATTGGGTGTCAACAAATTAGTTATAATCAATATCGCAGACCGGTAATCAGTCTTCATATGACGATATTGCTTCGGAATTGCTCGATTTTGCTTCGGAATTAAATTACACTTAGACTCGGAGTCGCGAGAGTGAGTCAACCCAAATCTAACAGCTATTGGTTATGTAATAATTCAACTAGCCCTTCCCTGTATTTTACAGCATTGATCGAAATTGCTTTAAGAAAGTCAACAACACAGCTATTGACAACAACACAGTCATTGAATATCACGGCTCGTACATTGGCTGATCTTATTCGGTGAAATGATATCTCCGTTTCAAATAAACCAAGGGTACATGCGGCTATGGAAGATAAAAATATGCAGACGTGCTGGTGTTTGTTTTAGCCGCAATATTAGCATACAAACGTAAAGAGTGGAGAAAAGTTTTTTACGTTGGAATGGGTGCTGGGAATATCAGGGAAAACACGTTAACCGGGGAACATTAACCGGTTAACCGCAGTTTGACGTAGAAATCTAAATTTTTTAGCTTATTACGTCACAATGGTTACAAACTAATTTCGAGTGATCTTATCCTGGTATCTACCAAAAATATTGACGAATCTAGACCGTTTCGTGATCCCTGTGGTGCAAGAGATATGCAGCGTGCTTCGGACATACGGCAGTATTTTAGTGAAACAGTTTCCGTTATTCAATGTTATTTATGTGACAAATTTTAGTGCTCAATGTGCAAATTCTTCTTTGAGATATCATAAGGATAAACAGCAGCAACTGCGCACATATAATAGACGATTTTGCAAGAAAACTGTATATTTTTATCGAGGAATATGTCTTATTCGAAAACTGATTATCAATTCATCATTGTCAAATTTTCATAATCAGCAATCTTGGTACTTCAATTGTATTGGGTGTTACTAATACAGTTAGTGATATTCTTTTAAATTAAACGCTACGGGAGATTAATTTGCGATTACGTAATCATTTCTGAAGAAATTGTACATTATAAAGATGATTTGTACCTGAGATGTCAGTTAACGGTTAAAATAAATCGTAACCGTTAACCATCTAAACTCATTTAACCGGTTAACCATTCCCAGCCCTAGACTGATGGGTTTCTTCAATATCGTAATGCGACCAGCCAAAAGTTTCTGCATTCGTGAACTGAACATTATTCTCCAGCTTAGGGGAATTTACCTCGGGGTCGTTGTCGTCGAAATACATTAATTAGGTAAGTTAATTAATTAAATTAAGTATTTGGTTTTAAATTACATGACTTGAAGGTGCACTGTTGCGAAAATACATTAACTCAAAAGCCCGTTCTCATCGGACTACCTTACAGTCAATGTAGATAGCAATTTGCCAAGTAATCAAATCATCTCCTAAGCCCTACTTGCCTACAAAGATAATACGAAATTTTAACCAACTTAAACAATAAAATCAGTCAGCCATTTTATGGGGGTCAAAGTGTACAATACAGTACCACGGTACGTTACCATGACCACGCTGTGACGCGCAATGTTGGAGATGAATGGAAATGAGGTATATAAATCGAGGTTTGGCGTTTTGTTCTTTGATCTGTTGATACAGTAACATAGTGTGTATATCCCTAAACATTTTTATTTAATAATAGGGTTGGGCTAAATTTCAACTGTGGTAAACACAAAACAAGTAGGTTGGAATGGTTTAAAATTGACATTACAGTACTACTGCACAAACAGAAGTTGCTGAATTACAGAATTAGGTGAGATATTCGTAAATTGCGGTGACTTAGTCCGTCAAGGATGATCAAATGTCAATATTTGTTATATACTTAATTTAGCGGTCATTTGAAGTAAGTTTTTTTCGATTTCTGATATCCGAATATATTGACAAGATATTTTACATAACACTCTCCTGTCTCAGGGCATTTTGTATTTTTTCAAGTTTTCAGCAATATTCTGACTAATAGAAACCTGCATCTTTGAATGTTTCATAAAAGGTAGCATAAAACGATCTTATTATTATTTTTAAGCTCGGCCTTGTTTACCTTTGGACATCACAAATATTTTAATTGTCATTTAATCAGGCATTTTGTTTAGTGTTGAACCATTTATCAAATACTTGTTATTATTTGTATCAACCAATACCATTTTTTTGATAAATAAAATGCTTACAATCCTAATCAGACCAGTTAATTTCGTTCTAGAATATGCTTCATAAGTGTAAGCATTTCTTCATAGCGTTGTTGTAGAATTTATAAAAATATCATGTTGGTTTCTTAAAGCCAAATTCTTGTGACAACTTTTTTTTTTAATTCACACGAGCCTGAAATTTTTACTGAATTCTGTTGAATTTTATTGAGAAAATTTAATTATTACTCAATTACTCAATAATTTTTCCAGGGGTATTACATATATATTATGTCCATGTAGTTTGCATATTGTGCTACAATCGAGGCTCGGTGCCAAAATAAAATGGCCTCTGAGAAAGAAACTATTACAATTAATGGCCAGGAAATCCACAAGGATGAAAAAATTCTGGTTGAACGCGGTGGCAAATTTGAATTGGTGAGTGCCTCAAAGCTTAAAGCATTGATGCCTTCAGTTGTAGATGGAAAACCAAAGGACAAAAAGGCGAAAAAGAAGCCTAAAATTGCAGAAGCTGGTAAAAGAAGCAAAACACCACCTCCACCACAATCCAAAGAAGCAAAATCAAAGTCCAAAAAAGCAACACCTCATTCAGCTCCAGTGAAATCAAGCAAACCAACAAGAAATAAAACAAGCACAATCGATTATCAGTCAATAAAGAGTCCGTATGCCATGTCTCCAGAAATGAAAAAGATGATGCGAAAACAGCAACAAGCGAAGGAAGAAAAACAAAGGGAGGAAGAAGAACAAGTACGACTTGAAGAAGAGGAAGCTCGGAAAACAGCAGAATTAGCATGGAAAGCTTGGCTTGAAAATAAGAACGAAGAAATGAAGAAACAAAAATCAAGGAGAAGTAGTGGTGATGCGGAATCACTTGCTCAGCAAAAACAGGAAGCAGTAAAAGCATACAAATCATGGTTGCATACTAAACAAAAACAACTACGGAAAGAACGACTCCACACGCAACAACTACAAATTGAGCAGGATGAAGGGTTTTACTTGCGTGATCGTAAAGACTGTAACCGAGCTTTCCACGCTTGGGTTAAAAGTAAATCAAAAGCAATTCTGAAGGAAAGAGAAGATGCAGAAAGGGCACGAAAACAGACAATAACAGAAGCAAGACGTGCAAAACGCACTCAAGATTTACTGAAATCTATTCAGGAATCACAGCAAATGAGATACGTAGAATATTACGGATATCGATTTTGACATTTTAAACTTTGAGTAATTACTCCGCTCAAATTATTGTTTCAAAAACTGAAAATTGCACTATTGATCCATCCAATGTAACAATTCAGCACTGTGATTTAGATACCAAAATGCAATGCAATCACAATGCAAAGTAATAATATATACTATTAGATGTGAAGATTATTAGTTTTTAAGAGACCAGAGATGACAAAAAATAAAGATTTTTGAATATTTGTCAAAATAATTTGTGTTTAGCAAAGAAATGCAAAAATTATAATATACTCATGGACTAAATTTTAAATGAGAAAAAAAGTTAAAAACCTCCATTACACATCAATTCAACTCAAATTTACTGATTTTATATCTCTTCAATGAGTTTTCTCTGAGCTTTTATAAAACACACAATTGTAGTACAAGAAGCCTTTACTGCTGGTCCATCAATCACTCAGTGGTGATTTACCATGTGCAGAGAAACTACAGATGCTGTTTGACCTTTTCATTCACCATGATTTCTATAATTACTCCACAAATATCACCTGAATATGTATTAAAATGTGTCTTCATAATTGACCACTGTTTTCCACAATTTTAAAAAATTATGCCTTTACAATATGCAGCTCTTTGAAACATACATATATTCCACACTACCTATGCTCGTTCGTTGCTATTTCTGGTTTTCATTCTCCGTCAAAGGTTATATACTGAAACCCTTACAGTATTAATGCAATTTTGTCAATGTTATTCAACTGATAACTTGACATGCTTAACGAAAATAGTACTGAGAGTTAGCCTCTACATGACAGCCGACAGATAAGTGTACTATCTAGTACCTCGCGTTTCTGACTAATTTTTATTGTGATAATAAATAGCATTCTGCTGACAGACCTTTCTGGTACATTGTAAACTTCACTGAAATCACTGAAAAACTCGATTCTGATGGCTGATCAGCGATATTTGTGTATATATATTTTTTGTGAATCAGAATATATGTTGCTGGCAATGTTCATTTGGTTGTATTAGATTGTACCTTATAAATGCACTATTATGTTGTCTGCAAGTCTTGTGAAAAAATGTAACTTTTGTGACCAATGTTGTCTACTGTTTTCTTTTTAGTGTATAAAAAAATAATCAATAGTAGGTTCACTAAAATTAGACACCGTACCAGTTGCAGTGGTTTATAATCGCCCATTTTCCTAATCGGTTTCAATAATCAGCATCAAGTCCGATTAAATATCCCCAATCTAACCAAGGCTGGTTGACTCAAAAGAAAAACAAAAACATCGAAATTCCAATTTCCTCACATGGGACTGTCCTAGTTAAAGTTGCAAAGAGAGTGATTCAAAGTCAAAATTCTAGTCAGAAAATCTTAAAACAAATAATCAAATTTCTGCTCACTTGTTCTGAAGTTCTGAGATCTAATAAAACTTGAAAGCGTAACACTACAAAATTATACAATAATTCATCTGAACATTTGCTCAGCAATCAGCAAAAGACAATTTTGAGGCTGAGGTTTGAATTTCTTTGCGCATCTATCATTTACATTCTCTTAACTCTAACAAACCCATTGAGTTTGTACACAGCCACATAGATAAATAAGACTTGGGTGTAACAAGGGGCAGACTTTATTACAACAAATGAAATAAAATGTTAAATTACCAGAATAATAATATTAAATGTACTTCGGATAGAAAAATACGTGCAAAAAATGTAAAAAAGCAAAGAATTTTGTGATCTAAAATTAGTTTGTAATCAAAAAATAACAACAATTACATAACAAGTATAGAGAAATATTTCATGATGATGTGTAAGTAGTAATAAGCCGTCCCATTTAAATTTTTACAACTTTTCATTGATTGAAATGATTAATTACAGCAAATGTATTCCCCTATTGATTGCTTGATATGAAGAAAATATAAAATTTCTTCAAGCAAAATAATCATTCGAAGCGTCATATTCTTGACAACGATAATTTGGGTACTTATTCTAGCAACAGTTATAAGTTAGGCAAGTACGATTCTGGCGTATTTAGGATTAGAAAATCATATTAAATCAGTACGAAAACTACATGGACATAAGAGCGGTCCCTACAAATAATCGCTAGGTTTTATAATAGTTCAATAACAACCTGTACGAGAGGTAACCCACAGTTTATAAACCACAAATAGTAGTATGGATCATCGATACTAAAGATGCAATTCATACATGGGTGTTGAACATTTAAAATGAAAATAATAATGCTGATCTTGCTATCATGCATGGGTAGCCTGTTTTAAAGATCTCAAGTAAATGCCAGACTGACCAATACAGTTTTTGACCTTCTTGATGAGATAGAAATATGAAACACTTTTTGATGTAAAACTAGAATATATAGTCAGTTTTGAGAATCAAAAAAGGAAATGCAGCCATATCCTTTTGCTTATTTCATGATTGCAAAAAAAGAGTGGATATTCTTTTATTTCAATTTTCTATTCAGGCTGATAAGGTAGCTTGTTTGTATGTTGTTAAATATGATTAAATTTTCCTAATAATATTTCTGAAATGATACAGACTCATTTTGACCAAAAAATTCGTCAATTTCCAAAAAGTAATTTTAACCCAATTTAAAATTCTATAGCCCTGACCAGATAGTCATGATCTCATTGTGATGAATAGTTGAATCAATGTGAAAAAATCAACATACAATTTCTTACTAGATCAGTTTTTAAAATCATTATAAATTAAACGATGTAGAAGTCAAATTACACCAGTGAATAAAAAATAAGCTCATATTAATGCGAGCCCGGACTTGGCTGGAACACATTCAATGGTGACCAGGTTGTACAATTGCTATTCCTCTTGCTGCTTATTAGCATCTTACTGCATCCACAGGCCTCCCACTAGAAAAAAATACGCTGGGAACATAACTTAGATTGAATAATTAGGCATCTGCCATAATACTTCTACACCTATCTCCAAGTATAGTTGCTGCTATTAATATTATAAATGTGATTTTGATTGGTTACCCATGACTGGGGATGTCTCTCGTGATTTGAACTAGGCATTTGAGTTTTGCCGCCAGGTGGGTAATTGAGGTTTTGTTGCTGAAAAAATGCAGCGTTCCCTCTGTGGTACGCATGCTGCAAGTCATTGGCTTGTGCAGCCTGTAATTGCTGTAAGGCTTGCAACTGTGAATGTTGTTGGACTAAGTTAGGAAAATTTCCACTCAAGCCTTGCATTTGCCCGGTGGCGGTGAGGTATGGATTTGCATCTGGGCCGAGGCTTTTTGCACTTGAATCAATGCCCTGAGCTGATTTCAAAATGTCGTTCATACCATAAGATAGGTGCGGTTGGACGAATGGACTAATTTGTTGTTCGGGTGGTCTATGCCCAATCATAGCATTGTCCATTGACACCCTACTTTGCGTCTGATTGTGTAAATGCCGACTCGACATTGCCAAGTTAGAGTTTTCAGGCATAGGGTTCGGGAACATGTTTCCATGCATGTCCGGTTGCTTCAAATTACTGTCTAAAGATCCAGAACGAGAGGCCACAAGTTGGTGTGGATGGCTTTGATGAGCGGCTGCTGATATCATATTCGAAGGTGCTGAAAATTTCTGCGTTACTTCATGTTTACGAGCGAGAGGATCACTTTTTGCATTAGATTGAAAATAGACATTAGGATCGAAATTAATGTCAGGTCTTATTGTCGTTGACCTATCTAAATTATTTTGCGTAATCATATCGTGATTCAAGTTTGCTTGTAATGCGTTTGGCATGTCTTGCTGCAACGATTGCTTGATTTCTTGGATAGCTGCATTTGATTCGAGGCTTAAAGTTTTTGCCACAGAATTTGCATTTTCTTCTGGAATCCACGATGCAGAAGAGCTGCTTCCAATATCCATTGGTATAGGCTCAACATGTGAGGAGTTATCACTGCCAGTTTCTTTTGTAACATCAGTGATATCGATCAGCTTCACAGGTGGAAGATCATCGGAAAACCACTGAAACACAAAGTCAAGTGTTAAAGATTTATGCATTTGGTATGTTGACTCATTTATATTCCATTCTTCGTTATATCTCGAGTGGTTAAGGACCAGGTAAGTCCAGCAGCACGAGGCCATTTTTTTTGTCCTCTTGATGAGTATATTAGTATAACTATGTTGGCAGTAAAATTAGATATGATAGCTGCAGCCACACCCAGCAGTCATCCTAAGGATAGGATTTACATATTTATTCCAGGGAGAGGTAAGCCGTTAACATTGCTTAATTATATGGCGAACCACGGCCTCTCGTCTGGTTACCAGTTGATGTAGGATATGAGATTATTTATTCAGTTATTTGTTTCGAATGCTTGGACTTGGTGGTGGAGGAAGCCATAATCGACCAGTGGTTACGTTCACCACCAAACAAAGGCGAGGAGTCCAGCAATCCTCTCGAAAATACCCACGCAGGTTAATTGAAGTTGCGCAGGCGAGCGTATTCCTAGCGCTTAGCACAGTGCGCCACATTGTCGAATTTTAACATAAAAACAAACAATTGAAGAAAATAGTTCTAGTGAACTTAGTATGACGTCTCACCTTTATAATTTCATGTTGTGATTGTTCTCCGATTGCATGTTGTTCATTAAAAATTTTAGTTGCTATTTTCTCGTGAGTTTTCTTATATTCTGTATATTTTTCTTCATCTCCACATAATCTGAAAAAAGAACAATGATAATTTGGCAAATGACAATCTACAATTGTCAGATATCAGTGATTGTTAGAACCTTCGGACATCCCTGCTAACAACCTTCATGCCAGATATGTCTAGGGCATGTCTATAAAGTTCAACATTTGTCATAGAAAACTTTATTTAACACCTCATAAGCCACCCAATTAACAATTGTTGCTATTGAAATTGTTGTTGCTAATGAAAGAACAGCTACCAACTCACTTTCATATTAGTTTAGAATGTTACAAGCTTGTTCAAAGTAAATATTATAATTCAAGATGATAAATACCATGATATAATATTCCATTATTCTCAAATTGAAGAGATGACATACCTGTATAAGTCTCTCAGTAAAGCAGAACTCCACAGTTTAACACTGGTGTCTGGAATTTTCATTGCAAGCTGCATTGCTGGAACAACCATGTTGACACTTTCCTGTATTGAAGAAAACAAGACAGACAACTTAGCCAAACCGAGTTTATAGACTCTTTTTACTTCTAACAAGGCTTTGCTATTATAGTTCAAAAGAGCTGTAATCATAAGAAATAAATGAAATTGTTCATTTACTCATTGAATTAGTTTAGTGGTTCCCAAACTTTTTCAGTATCGTTACCCCTAAATCGAATCACCAAAGGCTCAATTATCCCTTTCGTAAAATTGCAGTAGTCATATCATTGTCACTTTTTCATTGACCAAAAATGGTGGTGATACCAACACTTATTGAATCCTCCTCCGATCAGACTTTTTGCACTAGCTCTGCATTTTAGCTGTCAGCAAAGTATTGGTATCATGTCCCTACAAAGTGCGTGACCATATAAACAACCTCACTGACTGGATGCGAGCACTGAATATCCAGCTTTTCCACAGACTAGTCAAAAATACAGTTTTTTAAGAGAAATTGGTAAAACAGTCTAGAAATTGCCAAATTATCTTTGAGGGTAATTACCGCAGTTTGGAAACCACTGGATTAGGTAATTGAGAGAATTCTCCAAAACTATTCGTTTAAACCGTAACACCCCAGGTCCATCTTTGATTATAATGAGATAACAGTTATCAAATAAGCTGTAGGACATATTACTAACCTGATGATTCCCAACTGAAAGATAAATATGTCCGAGTAAAACCAATGCACAAGCTGTTAATCGGTTTAGATCTTGCGCATTTGCCATTTTCAAGGTTTCACGAAGAAATCGTCTGAAAACATGAACAAGAAGTTTAGGATCATGCCCATGGGTCATCTATGCAAATATCAACAAAACTGTTTAATTCCTTATTCAACTTTTTTACACTATATATACACAACACACAGCATGAC